CAACTGATAGAATGGAAACGGAAATGTGAAATTTGAAGATGGAAGAATAATTAGGGACCATATACTCTAAACTGTCCATTTTACATACTCAAAAGGCAATATTTACAGAGATGTGCAAGGTCATCTGAACCTTTCTATGCCTTGACTTCTTCTCTCCCTAACCTCATTCACTGCCTCATTTCCCTTCAATTAAGGGATTTGATCAGCTCTTCTTTAAGTTTCTTCTCAGTTCTCAAGTCCTATGATTCTGTAACTTGCTCAAAGTGACACAGTTCCGGAAAACAGGGTCCCAAATCTGTAATAGCTGGTTTCCAAATATTGCTGCTTCCACTAAAATGAGCTATAAAGTAGACCACAATATTCACAACAAAAACCTTGGGCCAAGATATGGCATGGAAATGCTCATTTGTCAAGTTTACAGACTTGAGCCAACATTTCAAGCAGAACTGCTCTAACACTCAGGAACCCTTCCTAGCCAGAAGGCTACTGGGAACCTTCAGAAGCATCTCCCTGAAGGGATAAAGTGCAAAGAAGGAAGAGAGCAATTGTAGGCTTCCTAAGTAGGGTGTTTGGTTTGGCAACAAGAAAGAACTTTCCTCCTATAAGTTCAACCACAGTAATGAAGGAGGCATGAGCATGGAGAGGCCAAAGATTATACCCCTGCTGCTGCTTCCCAGGAATGGAGCTTCAAGCATGACCAAGGCGCCAGCCATATTAGCAAAAGGAATAGCAGAGGCTTCATGCAGAAAACTAGTCTTTTTTTTAATATTTATTTTTTAGGTGTACTTGGACACAATACCTTTATTTTATTTATTTTTATATGGTGCTGAGGATCGAACCCAGGGCCTCGCACATGCTAGACGAGCGCTCTGCCGCTGAGCCACAACCCTGGCCCCAGACAGCTAGTCTTTACTGAGTGATTCCTATGGTGAGAAACTGTTCTCAACATTTCATATTTTCATAATCCTCTATATCTCTACTCACAGGTTCTACAACTCAATTACTTCTCACAACCATTTTATTCATACTGATATTGCTCTTCATTACACAGAGAATGTAACTAAGCCCAGGGAAGTTTCCCCTGTAAAGCTGCACAGCTAGTCAAGAGCTGGATCTGGGATTCAACCAGGGTAGCTAGGAGCCCAGACCTCACTACCCAGCTGGGCTCCATTAGCCAACTCCAGCTTCCTAAGGGGGAGAGACTGTCCCATCAGAAGGCTGAAACCTAACCAGAAAATGCACCCATTCCTGTTGAGTCCTGCCCCCATTCTTTAGGCAGAGGGGAGAGGAGGCCAAGTTATGTTACAGTCTGAATCATTCCTGGGCTCATCTCGGGCCACCTCCAGACTCAGGGACTTGACCAACTTTGCAGACAGGTAAAGAATGGGTGGAGAAGACACTGTGCCCTGTGTGCTTGTCTGCTGGTGACACACTCACGCCCTGTAAAGAAGTGAAAAGCTGCAGAGTCAGATTGAGAAGCCAAGCTGGGAGGAATAAAGCAGCATCAAAACAGTCAGTCCAGGACAAAAATGCTACTGCTTTGCCTCGAGTAGCATTGAAATGACCTTAAATGTCTTGGCTGCTGAGGATAATTGTGGCCTGTCTTTACAAATTCAAATTTGGGTGCAGTGAGGCTGGAAGCTGCATCTATCAGGATTTTGCCTCTGTTGGGATTTTGCCATCCTGTACTCTGTTTTATTTCCTGCTCCTGCCAGCATATCTTACTCAAGATCCCCTCCTCCACTCAGTCAACAGCAGAGAATGGCAGGGCCAGCAGCCTGGCCACACTGGAGAAGTAGCCACAGTTTTCCCCACCTGTGAACCATCTGGTCTTCCTCTTCTCTCTGTTCTTTCTTTATATAATCTCAGAAATCTTGATGGATGCCCTGTGTGTGCACTGAAGTGAAAGCCTATCTTACTTTGCAAGGCTTCTTATGCAAATGAATCCTAGTCCTTTTATTTGTACTGTGGCTCCTGGAAAAAGGAGGATTATAGGATAAGAAGCAAGCTTTAGCCAATGTAATGGTGGACTGGCTTCTAAAATTGTCCTCTCCTCCTTTCTCTAATCGGCCCGAAAGCATCTCAAGTATTTCCTTTGATAGAGGAGCAGGACCACCAGAACTAGGAAGCCATGCCTCAGGCAGCTCCCTGGATACTTATTTTGTATAAGGTAATAAAAAAGAGGACAGGTCCCTGCCCTCAACACACTGGTGTAAAGGAACATTTTTTCCCAGAGGCTTTGGGCATCCTGCTTCCTGGAGACTTAAAAACAAAAGATACAAATTTATTATAAGATTCTGTTCTGTGCCAAGAGCCTCTGCCTGGATTGGGCCCCACAGGAAAAGGGAGAGCTAAAAGGAGAAGCCAGCAAGGATGCAAGGTCACCCCCACACCCCCCTTGGCTTCCTTCCGAATGCCAGAGCCAGTTCTGGAGCCAAAGTTAAGTGCCCTCCCGAGGGTGCCCTCCCGAGGGTGGCCCTCATCCAGAACCCAGCCATGGGGGCGCCCTGCCATCCCCACCCAGCCAAGTACAGAGTGGGCATTCAGCCTCACCATGCTGACAGACAGAACCTGGCCTGTGTGCCAACCCCAGCACAGCCAGGAAGTACAACCACTTTGTCTCAGGCCCACTGGTAAACAGGAAGCTTATCCTTTTGTGGCACTAGCTGGTCTTGTAAGGCTTCAAATGGGCCAGAGCTGTCACTGGCTTCTTTCTTTCATTTTTTTTTTAAATGCCCCACCCCCCTGGATGAGGAAACTTTGGTTCTGACTTTTGGGCTGAGTACACAGATGGAGTGGTGCCAGCTTAGCAAATACAGACATAAGATCCACCCTGGCATTAACTCCCGTCCCCAGAAGGCCTGGGTGGGGCTGGGAACAGCACGTGGGCCTTGATGGAGCCAATTATCTTCCTTTTGGTAACCATGTAATCACTGATCACCCCAGCCTGAGCCTTGAGCCTTTTGGAAAGCTATAGGATACCTGGCATTAAAACAGAAGGAGGGCTGGGGTTGTGGCTCAGTTGTAGAGTGCTCGCCTAGCACGTGTGAGACCCTGGGTTCGATCCTCAGCACCACATAAAAATAAATAAGTAAAATAAAGGTATTGTGTCCAACTACAACTAAAAAATAAAAAATAAATAAAATTAAAAAACAGAATGAGACAATGACTATAGGGAACAGGACAGGACAATTCAAAAGCCTATAGGGTCAGACAGATCACATTCAGGAGATCAGATACTGCAAAACTGAGGCCCACCCAACCCATCCAAGAAGACAGCTTTTACCTGGCTCTACGTGACTGTGGCTACGTGGGCCAAGTCTCAATGAATCTTTACATTTTTCAAAAGGTGCCAGGAATCAGTTCTTTTATGTGAAACTGCCTGAATTCTAAATGTTGACAACCACCACCACCAACAACAACAACAACAAAGACCTAACAAAATACACTTGTGGGTCAAATCTTTCTGTGGGCTTTTGGTTTCCTTTGGCTGCCAGGGCACCCTTACCCTAGGTGAGATTTAGGGAAATCACTCTTTGTCTTGGCTGACATTTCTTCAAAAAGGAAGGTGATTTTAGATAGAGATGGAAATGCCAGCTTTAGATAAAGAAAACGATAACTCATAAGTATGTGTGCCTCCATAGGAAGATTTAATCTTAAAATTAATTGTTCTTCTTTAGGAAACAAAGTCTTTGATGTGACTTAAAGAGGTTAGAGGCACTGCAGCACAGGACTAGGTATAATGCTAGATCTGTGTCCATGCCCTCCACCCCCATTCTACTGGGGATTGAACCCAGGGGTACTCTACCACTGATCTATATCCTCAGACCCTTTTATTTTTTACTTTGAGAAAGGATCTTACTAAATTGCCCAGGTTGGCCTCAAACTTACAGTCCTGGTTCAGCCTCCTGAGTCACTGGGATTATAGGCATGCACCACTGCACCTGGCTCTGGCTAGATATGTAAAGCAGGCTGAACACATTTTCACAATTTCTTCCACCTTCCAGAATATGGAGAGTAATAACTGTCTACCTATCACTTCTGAAACCCTAAAGGTAAATGAATCCATAGACATCCTGTTGGAGAAATTCATCATGAGGATATTCTTTCTGAGAACTGATAATTAAACATGTCCTCGGATGGGGCTAGAATTGACTAGTTCTATAAAGAATCATAAATTGAACAAATTAGAGAGGATAAAGTTTTAGATCATCTTTGTATTATTTACTAGTATGCTGTTGTGTTCAACTAAGAAAAGGCTATTGAAACTCCAGACAGATATACATGCTGAACTTTGGCCGAGTGTTGTATAGTATGTAAGAATATTTACTGAAGTTGAGTATAAAGTCAATTACAGTAATGTCATCTGGGAAAGGCCATTTAGTTCTCATAATGAAAATGGTCAGAGCATCTCCAAAGAATGTATTAGTCAGACTTTGCTTAATCTGAAGAGAACTCAACTGGGTGGAGCCGCCGGATTGAGGTCCACCAAGCTTTCCACTGTGCCACAGTTTGTGAAAGCCAGCTAAGACACCAGGGAAAAATATATCTGAAACAAGGCAGAAAACCTCCACCCAACTCTCATGTGAAGTTACAGCCACAAGTGAACACTAAAGACAAGAAGAAACCCACAGCTATTCGATGAGTGACTTTTGTTTACAGTCTAACGAATAATGCCCTGGTGGGTTCTGATGGAGAACTTTGCCCCCAGAACATCCCATTACCTTTTCTTTTCTTTCTTTTTTCTTTTTTAATTTTTTTAGTTGTAAATGGACACAATATCTTTATTTTATTTATTTATTTTCATGTGGTGCTGAGGATCGAACCCAGGGCCTCCTACGTGCCAGGCGAGCACTCTACTACTGAGCCACAATCCCAGCCCGGACACAATGTCTTTTTATGTATTTATTTTTATGTGGTGCTGAGGATGGAACCCAGTGCCTCACACCTGTGAAGCTAGCATTGGACCACTGAGCTACAGCCCCAGCACACCCCATTACCTTTTGCTATTTTGTAGCACAGCTCTCTTGAAAATCCTCAAAGGAACACCGCCCTGCAATGAAAAAAGATTTTATATTAAAATCATGTTTTCAAACAAAATTCTCTATGGGTTCTAGCTTCATACAGTCAAGATTATTGGGGTTGGGGTGTAGCTCAGTAGTGTTTGCCGAGCATGAGAGAGGCCCTGGGCTCAATCCCCAGCACCACCAAAAAAAAAAAAAAAAAAGAGAGAGAGATTTATTACCAGCCCAGACTTAGAACAAGAAGTTAAATTTAAACCCTAAAACAAACCTTGCCTGTAAAGGGCCCTGGTTTGTCCCATTTCTCTTCTGCCAAATTAGGAAGAAAAGAACAAAGCCTGATGGTTTCCTGTCGGTGTACTTTGTACCTTTTATTACAGCAACCAGAAAAATCAGTGTGGGCGGCCGAGGGGTACACAGTGGCAGGTGCTTTGACCACAGCACAAATGTGGGGCCAAGCAGCAGGTGGTTGGTAGAACTGAAGAAACTAGAGGTTTGCAGTATTGGCTGCAAATTAAAAACTACCTTCTTTTAAGGAGCTGGGGGAGGGAGGCGCTCAGTGGTAAAACACTTGCCTAGCATGTGTGAAGCCTTGGGTTTGATCCCCAGCACCACAAAAAAAAAAAATCAGCTTTTTGGGGTTAAGATGAAACAATAGTAGAGTACAGTAAACCTATACATAGACTTTAACAATATTGATAGTAACAGAAAACACATTTCTTACTATGATATACCTAAACATTTTATACAAAATAATTTATTTGATTCTCACCACCACCCCATAAAGTGTAAATCATTATCACCCCCATCTTACATGAGTAAACTGAGGCATAGAATTTAAATAATAAACCTAAACACAAATAACTGAGACTTGAACTCAAGTAGTCTGGCTCCCGGGTCTCTGCTCTGAAACACCAAGGTACGTTAAGATGTCTGATTACAGAAGTATTAGAATATGGGAGAAAAGGTATTTATAATTTATCTTTGATATGAATTGTATTGCATTCTGCTGCCATTTATTTTTAAAAACTGTAATCGTATGTATAAAGCCAATTTAATGAGATGTTGGACAGAATGCTTTCACTAAAACAAAAAAAAAAGATGGTTACATTGAAAAAAAATTATCTAGATTTTTTTTTGTGTGTGTATGTGTGTGTGTGTGCATGGGATACGTGCTGGGGATCAAACCAAGGTCCTCATACATGTTAAAGAAGAACTCTACAACTGAGCTATGCCCTAAACCCCTCAAAATATTTATAGGAATATGCTTATTATTGATCATTTCAATTCAAAAATACTCCTTTCTCAGAGCTGCCAATCATGCAATCTCTTATGAGCCATTTTAACAGTAACACTGAAACTTCTGTATAGTGATACAGGAATTTCCAAAAATGAAAAAGGCTTCAGAACTTGCCAGCGAAACACAAGAAGCATGAGTAGGGTAGGAACTCACAGATAAAAATGAGAGCAGGAAACTGTATAACCTACCCTTACTGAGTATGTTCCATGATGATTCAAGGAGGGCCTGTGATAAGGGCTCAGAGATATAATTGCTTTTGTCTGGAGAATGTGTCCTTTAGGAATGGGATACATGGTACCTAACTGCCCCAAAGCCAACTAGGGTGTTTTTTTTTCATATTTTTTATTGGTGCCTTATATTTGTATATATTGGTGGGATTTGTTGTTACATACTCATACATGCAAACAATATAATATGGCCACTATCATTTCCCAAAGCCAACTGTTTTTCAACTTCTTGCCAATATAATGATGTCCAGAGGTATCAAGGAGCAAACAGGCAAGCAGACAAGCTCAATGTTTAGCTCTGCTGCCAGATATAGTGGCACACACCTGTAATTCTAGTGGCTGGGAAGGTGAGGCAGGAGGATTGAAAGTTCAAAGCTAGCCTCAACAACTTAGCAAGGCCTTGGGCAACTTAGTAGAACCCTGTGTCAGAAAAAAAAATAGCAGAATGGGGAAGTGGCTCAGTAGTTAAGCACCCCTAGATTCAATGCCTGGTATTAAAAAAAAAAAAAAAAAAAAATATATATATATATATATATATATATATATATATATATATAGAGAGAGAGAGAGAGAGAGAGAGAGAGAGAGAGAGAGAGAGAGAGAGAGTCAGAGCTGTAACACCAGCTCTTCATCCTCCATTAAAGACAGGTCTGCATCCAGAGGTTTCCCACTTGATTTTCTATGACTTGTTGGTCCCCCATCTTCTATTTTGCTGTTTTTCCTTTTCTTCAGTCCCTGCTTTTTCTTAATATCACTAACCTTGTTTTCCACACTGATGCTTCATAGCGTCTATATTCATCTGGATCTGCAAGTTTGCTCCAATCAAATCCACCATCATAATCATCATCACTCCCATCCAGAAAGGCTTCACCACCACCTTTGGCATTTATCTCTCTCTGGCTTATCTTCTAACTCCCCCCCCGCTTTTTTTCATCTTTTCTCCATTTTTCCATCATGATGTTTTGTCTTCATTTTCTTCCTGTATTCTTCTTTGTCAAATCTGTCCTCTTCCTGAAGCCTTTCTTTTGCTTTAACTAAGCTGATATCACCAGTGTCATCTTCTGCACCTGTGGCCAACTCACCTTCATCAGTAAACATAGTATTCTTCTTCATGTTAAAATTTCTCATCATTATTTTCTTCTTCTGTGAATTTTTTTCCTTTTTTTAGTTGTAGATGGACACACAATTCCTTTGTTCTATTTATTTATTTGTTTATTCATTTATATGTGGTACTTAGGATGAAACCCAGTGCCTCACACATGCTAGGCAAGCTCCTCTACCACTGGTTATAACCCCAGCCCAATTACTTTTTTTGTCGACACTGGATTTAGAAGATTCTTTCTTGATTTCAGAGTTTTTAGTCCAAGTTCACTGTAGTAAAGCATAACATCATGGCAGAGAGGGTATGGCAGAGCAAAACTGCTTAATTCTTGGTGGTTAGGAAGCAGAGTTCAAAATATATTACACCCCACCCCCACCCCGAACTGGAGGTGTTGAATCCACCCCTGGTGCTCTATCACAGAGCTACATTCTCAGTCTTTTTTATTTTTTATTTTGAGACAGGGTCTCACTAAATTGCCCAGCCTAGCCTTGAACTTGCAGTATTCCTGTCTTAGGCTCCTGAGTTTGTGGGATTACAGGCATGCACCACCATGCCCAACCTCAAAATATGAGTCACATTCCCATCCTTTGTGTGTGTGTGTGTGTGTGTGCGCGTGTGTTTTATTTAGAGACAGAATCTCACTAAGTTGCTTTGCACCTCGCCATTGCTGAAGCTGGTTTTGAACTCGTGATCCTCCTGTCTCAGCCTTCCCAGCCACTGGGATTACAGGCGTGTACCACTGCGCCTGACTTCAAAATATATTCTTAATGGCCAGTGTAAAAGGCCTTGACAGGCATGCCTTTTCTGTTATTTTTTCAGGCAAGAGTGTGGGAACATGTCTGTACCATTATTATTATTATTATTATTATTATTATTATTATTACTACTTAGCAAATGGATACTGAGGGCCTGGTCTGGTGAGGCAATAAGAATATACAATAATATCAAAAAACGAATGTTCTCCTTGATCCTAAGGGGCATAGAATCGAATATTTACAACACAGATAGGGCCATCAGGTACAACTAACAAGATGCCAGTCACACTGTAAACATCATAGATTTATCTTTATTAAGATGGTGGGTGTCTTTTTGTAATTCATATAAAGGTGCCTATGAGCTAGCAGCAGTCAGGTTCATGCAAGCAGACATGTGCACCACAAAAGGAAGTAACACCCAGGAAGTGGTTGATTTACTGGAGAGGATCAGCAAAGCTTTCACAGGGGAAGTTTGTCCTGAGCAGAGAAAGGCAAAGGGAGAGATAGACAGGCGGAAATGACAAAGGCAGAGCAGGCAGAAACAAGGGCTGAAGAAGTATGAGGAACAGGAGGGGAGCCACAGAATGGGTCTGGAAACAGTAGGTAGCAGGGAGTGTGGTTACTACTAAGACACTCTCCTCGAGCTGCTGCACTTAACTCTGCAGGTAAGAGGCTACGGAAAACTCTCTCTGGATCAGAGACATGCACAGACGAGGGGATAAGAGGCAAGGCAGCAGGACCAGCCAGGAGGTCTCAGTGACAGACAAAACCAAGAGCTAGGACCAGAGTCAAAACCATGATCAAAAGGATGATTTTTAAAAATATTTAGGATAGTTTTTATTTAATAACTTTTACAGTAGCTCATTCCCAAAAGGATAATGGAACTAACAGAGATGCATACTTTAGAAAAGAAGAAAATAATTGCATGAGGAAATAAAGATAAATGGAAAATAATTTTAAGAAAAGCTGGGGCAAATTTAATGCACTAACATAAGTACTATCAGGCATGAGACATTTCCTGAAGAGGGCTCATTTGTGACACTGAGAGTCTTATCTGCTAAGCAGAATGGGAGCCTAAGTAACTACAAAGAGTGTCGGAGTAAGGCAAACTAGAGGCTGAGGAGGAAGAGAAACAGTTCCTAACAATACATGAAGACTCATAAAAACCTCTCCCTCGAGTGCTCAGAAAGAGCAATTCTCTAAGCAGCTGGGGTGTTGAAAGCAACAATCCTGAGAACTAAAACCAAAAACGTTCCCAACTTTCTTTTTTTTTTTTTTCCATTGAATCATTTACTTATTTATTTAGCAAGCATTTCTTAATAGCAATCTTAGTCCAGGTTCTAATTTAGTTAAAATAATAACTACAATATAATATTTACTGTTGAAGATACCATATTCAATTAGTAAAAATGAACATACTAATAAATTAACGTGGTACACAGTGGCGAATTCTATGTTAGATCTGTGTAATAATATTTCTCATTATAAAATCCAGGAGTATTGGCTCTCTAGCATTAGAATAAACCAGGTATCTAGAAAATTAGATAAAGTTGCCCATCTTCTATTCATTCCCTCAGGGTGAATATGATTTTCAGAGGTATGCTAACCTGTGCTCTGTGAGGTTGATTTAGTAAACCTTTAAGTAAAATTGGAAAGAAAAAAGCAAAGAAAGATTTTTTAAAGTTGGAACCTATATTTATGAGATGAGTTAACATTTAGAATAAGAAAGCTGGACAATATGGTTTCAATTAAATGTAGATATTAATGCTTATCATATGTTGTTTTTGCAAATATTTGCTATATTATTACACGTTCCCAACTTTCAAAGGACTATTTTTTTTTAACAACATCCAATAGTGAAAGACACAATCATACTCCCAGGAAAAAAACATAAACCACATTTCACAAATGGCCCAAAGAGCAAGGAGCCTGTGTAAAGTTCTCAGTATGACCTCTGGATGGAGAGTTCCAGCGGCAATCATTG